TGTGTGTGTGTGTGTGTGTGTGTGTGGTTGAATCTTCAGAAGCATTTGAAGGAGAAAGCTTGTGAGGCGGGTAAATCCTCTGATAGCTGCTGGACTTGGTGATGCTGACGTTTACATTCTTGTCATGATGACTTATTTCCTACATTCCTGTTGAACCTCGATGGCTGTAAACTACACATTAGAACTGCTCTGGTCACCAGTTAGACGACCATAACGTAACATTAGAACGTCTCCTATTCGCTTGTTGTGCCACAGAAACTGTGTAAATGAGACGGTTTTCCAGCTGGGTGTCAAGCGTAAGTGATTTAGTTTAAACCTGAGTCGAGTGTGCAACACGATGTCATGAAGGCTGATTTATGTCCCAGCAGCGGCTCGCCCCTCATTAAGCCTGGCTGAGCCAACAACAGCTGATTTCCTGAGCTTCGCTGTGACGCTGGGCTCCAGATGATTGTGCTGCACACCACGACAGTGTGACAGAAGCGTGTCCTGATGCAGGTGGTGGATGAGAGGCCAGAGTGTGACTGACAGCTGATGTCACATGTCACCTGCAAGGTGAACCCTACGGATGATGACTGTACTCCCAGAACAGTCTCACCTATAACCAGAGACAGCTGACGGGTAGCTGCTCTGATATCCTGGGGGGGCTGAGGAGGGCCACAGCTCCAGAGGGAGGACACTGATCCACTGGGCCCTCTGGGAGGCGCTGTGCACATGATGGGATCCAGTTAAGCCCCACTGCTGAGTGAGAGCTGAGAACGTGGGTTCAAAGGAGAGTCTGCTGGGCCCCGTCAGGTATCAGACTGAACGGCCTCATGAGACAACATGGCCGTCATCTGGGCTCATGTCCAGGATTCCTCATTAGCATTTAAAAAGTAAATCAAGCCCAGTTCACATTCACATCCATTCAGTGAATAAAAGCAGAGAATACAGAGCTGATGTGGATGCCCAGTAGAGCGAGCCTCGATTATGGACCGGTAGCTGTATGCCAACACATCCTCTGGGTTCTGTGCTGCCATCACGACGACATGTCGATGTCATGGATTCATTCATGGGTTTACATTGTCCTCCTGCTGCCCCCAGGTTTCAGACAAAGAAGATCAATCTGACGATCAGTCAGCAGTTTATTAAATGATCAGCTGTTTGGACTGTCGGGGTTCATCCCACCGTCCAGAGTGGAAGTCAGACACCTCATCAGGCCAGGCTTTCCCCAAAGCTGTTGCTGTTGTCTCTGTAGCCCACATCATGGACATCACCTCATCCCTGGTCGGAGCCGCAGGGTTCTGGAGAATCTATGGAGCCTGGATTGTTTCACAAAGCTGTACAGCGATTCAGGGTTCATTCTGGTGACCCTCAGTTGTCGTAATTAGTTCTCATGAGAATAACAACCTTCCTGTATTTCTGAACTACGTGTGTTTTGGTGATTTGCAGCACAGCTCCTTCTTACTTCCTGTTAGCAGAACCGTTCATGTCAGAGCTTATTGATCCTCCGGTATTTAAGAATCTAAAGTTCAGTTCTGAGGCCGGTACCCATCCCTCGTCAATACAGTATCTAACGTCATGTTTAATTATCAGAGTTTGCTTCTCTTTGACGTGTGACCTGGTGGTGGCTGGTTGAACCTGGGCTTAGGCTTAGACGTACCATCAGCTGCTAGGATGGCTAACGGGGCTCCACTTGGCCTGACTATGTCCTGGTTGTTCCTTTAATGCCTGCAATGCCACAAACAGAAGTGTGATCATCATTAAAGCAGAGGAAGAGCCAGAGCCGCTGCTAACGGTAGCAGAGCAACGTGAGCACAGTGAGGATGCTGCAGGAGGCTGAGGGGCTGCTTCATCTGTTTCACAGTTACAGCTCAGCTCTCTGCCACACAACAAGGACTGAGTGGTACATTAGTCATGATCTGTCACTGAAATGTGTTTGATGTGAGCTAAAGAACAGAAAGGACAGGCAACCAACAGTCTGACTGGACTTAGAACGTCATCCCTCCTGCATATGCACACAGACAGGATGGATGAGTGACAGCTGCACCTCATCCATCACATGCTGTGGAGATAATGGAGACAAAGAGACACAGTGGTTGTCAATAAGAAGGACCTGGACGCACCCTGATGTGAGAAGGTGCTGCGAGCATCGTGGACATGGCCCGGCTCAGTCATCATCAGCAGCCTTTTCAGGACCTGAACATGAGGTGAGCATGCTCACTTTTCCATGGAAGCTGTGAGAGTATGTTTTGAAGCTGGATTAATGGATATTCACACATGATGACCCGATGACTGACGTAGATGCTCTTGACGCATCGTGTCCGTCAATGAAGCGATGATGGAAACGCTGCCACTAAAAACTGATTCAGTGTTTCCTGCGTCATACATGTTTGATGT